AAATGATAAATTGACTTCACACTGTACAAGGAAAATACGGCGCAGAAGTAATATTCTGAAGGTATCACAAGACAATATTACAAAACCCATAAAGAATTCAATTACAAAGACAAAAAAGTAACCCTACAAAATGTAAGGAAATGGTAGAAAAGTTACATAATAAAAGACCAATAACCACGTACTTAAGAGTAAATACAAGCTGCGACTGCAGACAGTTGCACAAGGGCAGCAGTACTAAGGAAAGCCCAAGAGGATCCATTGCTTAAAAAATAAAATATAATCATGCAATAAAGAAATCAACATCTCTTATAATACTTAAATGAAGGAATTTTCTAATGCTGTTCTGTATTGTGACTTACCAGTCAAGAGATAAATAATTTCAGACTTTGCATAAACAACCTGATGAACCACTCAGAACATAACCTGATGTACCGCTCAGAACATAATCTGATGTACCGCTCAGAACATAACCTGATGTACCGCTCAGAACATAATCTGATGTACCGCTCAGAACATAATCTGATGTACCGCTCAGAACATAATCTGATGTACCGCTCAGAACATAACCTGATGTACCGTTCAGAACATAACCTGATGTACCGCTCAGAACATAATCTGATGTACCGCTCAGAACATAATCTGATGTACCGCTCAGAACATAACCTGATGTACCGCTCAGAACATAACCTGATGTACCGCTCAGAACATAACCTGATGTACCGCTCAGAACATAATCTGATGTACCGCTCAGAACATAACCTGATGTACCGCTCAGAACATAACCTGATGTACCGCTCAGAACATAATCTGATGTACCGCTCAGAACATAACCTGATGTACCGCTCAGAACATAACCTGATGAACCGCTCAGAACATAATCTGATGTACCGCTCAGAACATAATCTGATGTCCAGCTCAGAACATAATCTGACGTACCGCTCAAGATATAATGCAATGTACCAATCAAGATGTTACCGGATGTATCACTCAAAACATGACCCGACTTACCACTCAAGACGTAACCTGCGGTAACGTTGAAAGATACAACCTGAAGTACCACTCCAGACACAACCTGACGTGCCACTCCAGACACAACCTGACGTACCACTCCAGACACAACCTGACGTACCACTCCAGACACAACCTGACGTACCACTCCAGACACAACCTGAAGTACCACTCCAGACACAACCTGAAGTACCACTCCAGACACAACCTGACGTGCCACTCCAGACACAACCTGACGTACCACTCCAGACACAACCTGACGTACCATTCCAGACACAACCTGACGTGCCACTCCAGACACAACCTGACGTGCCACTCCAGACACAACCTGACGTGCCACTCCAGACACAACCTGACGTGCCACTCCAGACACAACCTGACGTGCCACTCCAGACACAACCTGACGTGCCACTCCAGACACAACCTGACGTGCCACTCCAGACACAACCTGACGTGCCACTCCAGACACAACCTGACGTGCCATTCCAGACATAACCTGACGTGCGACTCTAGACACAACCTGACGTACCACTCCAGACATAACCTGACGTACCACTCCAGACACAACCTGACGTGCCACTCCAGACACAACCTGACGTGCCACTCCAGACACAACCTGACGTGCCACTCCAGACACAACCTGACGTGCCACTCCAGACATAACCTGACGTACCACTCCAGACACAACCTGACGTGCCACTCCAGACACAACCTGACGTGCCACTCCAGACACAACCTGACGTACCACTCCAGACACAACCTGACGTACCACTCCAGACACAACCTGACGTACCATTCCAGACACAACCGACATACCACTCCAGACACAACCTGACGTACCATTCCAGACACAACCTGACATACCACTCCAGACACAACCTGACGTACCATTCCAGACATAACCTGACGTGCCACTCCAGACACAACCTGACGTACCACTCCAGACACAACCTGACGTACCACTCCAGACACAACCTGACGTATCACTCCAGACACAACCTGACGTACCACTCCAGACACAACCTGACGTACCACTCCAGACACAACCTGACGTACCATTCCAGACACAACCTGACGTACCACTCCAGACACAACCTGACGTACCACTCCAGACACAACCTGACGTACCATTCCAGACATAACCTGACGTGCCACTCCAGACACAACCTGACGTACCACTCCAGACACAACCTGACATACCACTCCAGACACAACCTGACATACCACTCCAGACACAACCTGACGTACCATTCCAGACATAACCTGACGTACCACTCCAGACACAACCTGACGTACCACTCCAGACACAACCTGACATACCACTCCAGACACAACCTGACGTACCATTCCAGACATAACCTGACGTGCCACTCCAGACACAACCTGACGTACCACTCCAGACTTAATCTGATATACTACTCCATACATAATTTGGCGAACTGCTCAAAACGTTCCACTCAGAACGTAACTTACCTCTTCCATGTCATTGGCTCGTTTCCTGACCTCTGTCATCTCTTGCTCGACCTTCTCCCTCATGTCAGTGTACCTCTGCTGTTCCTTCTGCAGGTACATCAGGTCCTCCCAGGCCTGAGTCACCTCCTCCGGCTCGTCCTCGTCACTCTCGTCATCTACACAAACATATACCACAAATATGTTGAACCTCAACATGGCAAAGTACATATTGTAGGGTTTTAAATGAAATATCCTCTGCCTTTATAATCTCACCAGAGTAAAATGATATTCATTGAAGTCACTTACGTTGCAGTGCTCGGAGGAACACATATGCTTGTCCCTGTATGGTATGCAGTTTGTTATGAAATAGAAACATTTACGTTTAAATACACTGGAATATCAATAAGAAATCTCTTAATTCTATGACACAGATGCTTCTTCCAACACTGCTGACACATGTGCTTGTTCCAACACTGCTGACACATGTGCTTGTTCCAACATGGCAAGCATCTTGACACGAAGGTGTACAGTTACCTCTCTCTTTATCGGTGTCCATGTCAATTATATCTCACCGTCAGGCCCCTTAATGGGTTCAGAGCGCCCCTTAGACCGCTGGGCCCTCTCCGTCTCCCACTCCGTCACAACCAGGTTCTGACGCTCAAACTCCATCGATAACGCTAGTATGTTACTGTCAATGTCCATCAGCTTATTTCTGCAAGAAGGAACGACGGGGGATGTGAGAGTTGTGGTCGCGGTCACAGATAACTCAAATGGCTTTCAAAGGTCTTATCCAGACTTATTGAAAATGGAAGGAACATAATTAATTGATATTATATTTTTATGTGCAGAATAGAGCATTAAAATACTGCATGTTACAGTATTTCCCCAAACACAAATATGAAACACGTGCAGAAGCTAATTGTCATATTAATGATTATATAATGTATTAATTATATATCAATTATTTTTTTATTAATTGACAATTTATTTTAAGTTAGGCTGTTTTCGAAACTAGTGTTACTTTCCTTAGTGACATCTGCTCTCTGAAATATTCTAGGTCATTGGTTCTCACCTGAGTGACATCTGCTCTCTGAAATAGTCTAGAAGATCATTTTTAAGTTTCCTCATTTTCTCAGCATTCTTCTGCCTCTCCTGTTCCACTTCTTGGCTGTTCATACCTGCTGTGCTCTGCTCAGGGACACTCTCATCCAGTTTACTCTTGAGTCGATCAATTTCGTCCTTAAGCTCAGTGATGATTGTCTGGTACTGTGAGACGTGGTAGGACACGTCCAGCACGTTGCGGCGAACCTGAACACGTAACAACGTTCACAGTAAGAATGCATGACGATAATTAACAACGTCGCGTCTCAGCGGACATAATATGCTCGAGCAACGTTATATTTACAAATTAATGTTGTTTCATTGTTATATCTGTGCAGTTTGTCCATCTATTCCCGGGGGAAGTGTTCAACACGTTATGATGAACATGTACACAAAACAACGTTGAAAGAGAATGGACGATGCCAATGACATTGCAGAAAGTGCGCGCCATGAGGACACTGTCTCGGGCAATTGTCATTACTAGGAGGGATGAACCCACGGTAACGACATTTTATTTTTGGAAAAGTTGTAGCTGAGGGATCGTCGTTTTCAGAGTAGATTTTAGGTTGTGATCGAATGGGAAAAATATCTTTTCTAAGGGTTATAGTTTTTAGCGTGGATTTGGGGGTCGTACAGAGTCAATCTTCAGGAAGAGTGTTAATTAGGAGTGTGTGAAGTAAATGACAGTGTCGGATGTTAGTTCTTGGACCTGCCTTCAAAAGTTACTTTTATAAGACATACTGTTTAAGACTGAAATCATGGTGAGAACAGATTCATTTATGGATACTATGTTAATCAGGAATATGTGAATAACTATTAGTGTCAGGCTTCAGTTCTCATGCCTGTCTCTTAACATTAATAGTTATGTAATTTATATGTATAGTAATGTAATTTTATTACAATTAACTCAGTTTTTCTGAAATTTAAAATATCGTTGTTTTAAAGCAGTTCTTGAGCTCTAGCTCCCCTCCTCTGTCTTATTTCACTCAAGTATTTTCGTTACTACCAAAGTGATTTTCATGAAATTTAAAATATAAATTTTTTTAGACTTAATAAGAAAAGAAAATGAGGTTGTCTTGCTGTAGCTCCCGTCCACCACCTTAGTTCTCTCTAGTAATTTCATTTTAACAGTTCAGCTTTCACAAAATTTAAAACCATTGTATTTTAGACGCATTAAAAATCAGTGAGACTATTCACAGGCCCTCAGAAATTTTCTTACCTAGTTTTTTATTTTTTTATGTTATATTTTTTTCAACTTTCCCAAGTAGCATCCCTGTACAATTTTGCTAGAACAACTAAGGCATTTCATTCTGTAACTTTTCATAGCAAAGCGTGGCTCTGTAACACAATTAATACTCTTTCTGTATTGTATCCTGTTTACTCTTTAACGAAACTATGTTATTCCATTCTCTTTATCAAATTAATATTTCTTACTAACACTGGTCTTAATATAACATTACTCTTTGTGCAATGAGTATATTGTCACGGTAACCTCTTCGCATCATAGCTTAACATCACCATCATCATTTTTGCATCATCGAAAAATAGTCAAGTATTAACAAAAACAAAATAGTTGCAACGTTACAAAAACAAAGCGTTACAAACAAAATAGTTGTTTGTAACGTTTTTTAAACTAAGGAAATTTGAGAATTTTCTCCGTGCAACGAGAAAAATATCAAGTGCCCATTTTTTCATAACATCTCTAATCTAAAACTACTCTGAGGCATCATTAAACATCATAGGATACCTCTAAGACTTTTTCATGCATTAAATGATATTCTTCGAGATATCTTCACACATTAAGGGGCACTCACCAAGACATCTTCGTGCATCAAGGAAGCTCACCAAGACTTTTTCGTGCATCAAGGAAGCCCACCAAGACATCTTCGTTATCAAGGAAGCCCACCAAGACATCTTCGTGTATCAAGAAAGCTCACCAAGACATCTTCGTTATCAAGGAAGCCCACCAAGACATCTTCGTGCATCAAGGAAGCCCACCAAGACATCTTCGTGTATCAAGGAAGCTCATCAAGACATCTTCGTTATCAAGGAAGCCCACCAAGACATCTTCGTGTATCAAGGAAGCTCACCAAGACATCTTCGTGCATCAAGGAAGCTCACCAAGACATCTTCGTGCATCAAGGAAGTATCCACATTTGCAGCCAACATAACCTAACACGATCTGCCAGCTCAGTCAATTTAACACTAAAGTACACGTCCACAGAGACATCACGAGACTTTCTGCTTATTAAGGCCGCCATTCATCATTCGTCGGCAACGTTGCAAGAGGAAGCACTCGTCTCGCTCGCAGGGTGACTTAAGCGGTCAGCCGCTTGAGCGCAACGCACGCCTACTCCACCTACGTTGTAGACATCTTTCTGATTGAGTGGATGGATCACTCCTGAGCTCGCCAGACATATAGCATGCCAGTCACGTCTCGCTGTTCCACAGCAGCTGTGAATTCTCCAGCCTCGTCGAGCACTTCGGTGCAAGCATGTGGGGACATTTGGGGCTTGACTCTAATTATTTAAATATTAATATAGTAAAATTAATTACGAAGGACCACCCACTTTTATAGTAAAGAGGGAAACTGAGAAAATGTGATCATTAGAACATTCTAGATGAACCAGTAACTATGGATAAAATACTAGAGAATATGATCATTGAAATAATTAATGGGCTGTATAATTAAATGAATCAAAGCCTCAAACACCTACATTGGGGGGGTATTACTGGAACTCAGTACGTCCAGGAACTAGTGTGGTTCGTTCACTAATCCAATGTATAATAATCTAATCCTATGAATACTTATGAAATCATTATCGTTATCATTAAGGGGAACATAGATTATGAATATGTATAATAATAATTATAATAAACACATGTTAATCCAATGAACAGAGTTCTGCATGTAAAAGAGTACAGATAATAAATTCGAGGAATACAAAAGGAATCTTAGCTTAATGACGATTCCTTAGAAGTTAGTCACGACGCTTCCTCTGATTCTCCTGGACTCGTCATGGAACACTGGGAGTTGATTAACATGGTAAATGACAGCTCGGAGAATTCTTCACACACGCTGTGATTTTTAGTTGTTATACGTCGTCACGACAAGCTACCCAGCTATAAACCCGCCCCCGATCTGATGCATCAAACAAGGATAAGGTACTTAGCTAATATGGGCACTGTGTAAGTTAAGGCTTGCCGAAGGTCGCGTCCTAGGCTCTAGACTTGTCTATCCTAGATACTGACGCGCTCCACTGGCCGGTCACATGGAGTTACATAGAACCAAATTTAACAGGTTCCGTAAATGACACTGACACCAAGTGAAGGTATTGTCTGCAAGGTTCTTCACACCTCACAGTGGCGACTTTCTTCTGGAGATTTGATAGCGTTTACCCTGGTGGCTGGGTAATGGCGTCTCCTCGTGAGCACCACGTGAACACGCCTACTCGTGAGCGTTTCAACACGTGGACTGGCGTCTTCTTCCGCCCCGCTCCGCGTCCCGCGTTTATTAACCAAATTATTTATTATGGATATTATCATTTCTCGCGGTTGTGCTTGAAATGCTCGGGTTAGGACGGGTTTATTATTTGGAAGAGTCAAATATTATTATTTGCCAGTTCTATGATAGTAAACGAACAATGGAGAAGAATTAATGTCTCTCCAGGGCATTCACGCGTGACGTTAATTTTATTACTAGATAACAGCTATAACTATAAACGCTCTATTTGGCTTTAGTTGGAGATCAGTTTATCTGTAATTAATTATCACACAGAACACCGTTGTTTATGGAGAATCAAATTCAATTCTCAGGCACATTGGATATAAATGTGTTTATTACAATGGAATCTGACGCAATACTGGCGTCGGGTGACGTAAGAATTCTAGCCTTACTGTACAGATGTAATTATTAGTACATGTGAACTCTACGTTGGGTTAATTTTAATCACTACAATGATTAGTAGAATTAGTAGTAATTAATGAGAATACAACAGTGTTGTATTTAGTGTTGGAAATTTCCAACATAACTCCGGGGGGAGGATTCTAGGGTCGTAGTGTAATGTGGAGTACTGACACCTAACCCGAAGTTGGTATTAATATTAGTATATTAGTATGTTAATATGTTAGTATGTTAGTACACACATAACGAATGTCCCGTATTTGTTAAGGACTTGCAAGAAACTTAGGTCTTGCTAATTTCATGTCAAATGAAACATGTTATTTATAAATTACCTAAAGCTAATAATTAAGAAAGTTTACAATAACTCTGAGATTGGTGTCGCTATGACATGTAATGTGTATGTTACAATTCTCTAGTCTGTAAACTCTCAAGTACTCTAGATAAATAATGTTATTTATAGCCTACACAATAATTAAAGATTTTAATCACACAATTTAAACAACAGAATCTTCTGTGATGGGAATGTCCTGGGTCATAGTGACTTGTAATGGTTTGTTACTTGACATCACCCCGCAGTATCATCATAGTTATCTAAATTGGGTGGAAAAGGAATTACTCTTGTTCAGAGTTGTAATAGGCTTGCAGATTCCGCTTACATTGTTGAGCAGCAGCTCTAGTGGGGCGGTTGCTCTGTGGATCAGAATTACTATCCTCGGAAATTACTGGGGAAACTGGACCTGGCTGATTTTCTCGCTCAGCCAATTCAAGGGGAACCAGCTTCTCTAAAGTTTTTAGAGTAGTGTTGCCTCGGCATAAAACTTTCACTACCCTCAGGACACCTTGATGATCTGGATGAATGGCAACAATTTTGCCTATGGGCCACTCTGACCTTGGTCCATCACTGTCGACTAGTACTAGGTCCCCTGGTTTTAATTGCACTTTATTGTAAGGACTCGAAGCTCCGTAGTGGTACTCTCGTAGAGCTGTGAGGTACTCTCGAGTCCACACCTCATTCCACCTGTTAATAACTCTGGAGAGATGCTGGTAGCTTTCCACCAAGTCACCTCTGGTCACATGTGACGGGTCTACGGGGTCCTCTTCGGCTAAAGGGATGAGAGGGCTCAGTAGACCTCCATGGATCAAGTGTGAGGGACTCAGAGGTTCTCTCTGGGTGAAATCATCAGACAGGTAGGTTATTGGGCGGTTATTGACTCGCGCCTCGATTTCCACAACAATAGTTTGGAGTTCGGAGTAACTGACCTTTTGTCTGTGTAAAGTTTTCCTTAGACACTTCTTGACTGTGCCTACCATTCGCTCATAGAACCCACCTTGCCAAGGGGCTCTCGGTGCTATGAATTTCCAGTGACATTGTCGTCTCTGTAGAACCGACTGTAC